ACAGAGGAAGAGGAAGGCCTCCTCTGCGTTGGAAAGACCAGGTGGAGAAGGACTTGGCTTCACTTGGCATTTCCAATTGGCGTCAGTTAGCACAGAAGAGAAATGACTGGCGTGCTGTTTTGGACTCGGCCAAAATCGCTTTGGCGGTTACAGCGCCAATAAAGAAGAAGAAGAAAATAGATCCAGCTGTGGTTAACAACAACACAAATATGGATCTAAAATCCTTGCAAGAATTTTAGGGGGATACCGCATCCTTTTCCGTAGCGGAATTCGGGTACTACGGGAGGGTTCGGATCAATATTATATTGCAATGGGAATTTTTAGAATTAAGATAGTAGGCTCAGCGAACGCAACGCTCGCTTCCTTTTCAACTGTATTGAATTTTAAAGCTATAATAGCTAGGTTAGATAAAACATACGCGGACAAAAGACCGTTGCATGTTTTGTAAACAGAACTCAGTGTTTTAAGGCAGGGAAATTTGTCACTCTATTATGACACGGTGGACAAACAATGAACACTCATAACTCACTCCAACAACAGGGAGCTTGCCGGCTTGCCAAAAGATTTGCCTTCTGCGCTGGCTACTGCCCAGGAGTTAGAAAATAACCGTATTCGTTATGATTTTGCTAGAACATTTGCGGTTAACATCGTAACAAATTCAGTTAGCCCAAAATATCAGAACAATTATCCAACCACTCCCCATACGCCTAAGGACACTCCTACTCCAATGGAGGTAGACCGCGGATCCTCTGAATTCCGACGTACAAAACAGCCTAACCAGGGTTATAAGAAGGATAATGCATTGGGAGGGCATCCCAAAAGGGATGCTAATCAATACGCGAATAAACGGGATCGCGAACAAGGGTATTCAGTAAATTCACGAAAACTAAAGGTGCAACGGACGAACCATTTGAAGACAACCCAAGAGGTAGATCCACCAGAAGAAGTTACTGTGGATCGTGACAGTTATTCAGATATTGAGATCGCTTCCAATTTTGCGATGGAAGATGAAATTATTTTTTTAGCGTAAGGTCCCTCCTACCCTACATTGCCAAGAAGATGTCGGAGGGGCGGGAGCCCCTTTAATTGTTAATTGGTAATTGATACAGAAACCTCGAAGAACTATATAAAAAAAATTTAGTTGCTTAAAGGGAATTACCCCTGTGGAGAGACAGTTTAAGGTCGAATCAATAAAAGGGTGTAATCCCATAAAAAAATGCAAGCTTTTCCTTTTGGGAAAAGCATCAACTTTCTTTATTCTCCCAAATTTAAAAAGCTTCGATGGTATAGTAGGATATGATTTCCTAAATGAAATAGGAGCTAAAATTTATACGAAATCGGAATATTTATTTTACGAGGGTGGTAAAGAAAAATTAAATAGCATAAAATGTGAGCAGGTAAACTCCATATGTTTGGATAGGGACTCAGCCTAGAGTTCGACTCTATGTTTAAGAAGAACTTGAAGGCCTTTGCCGAACCTAACCGAGCTTTACCATATAATACTACGGTTAAAGAAAAAAATCCATACCCGGTTTCGGCGGCAGGATTCATTAATAAGGAAATAGAAACATTCCGGCTCATTCTCCGGTCCATGTTGGTAATAAAAAAGGCCTAGATGAATATGGCAAACAAAAGCTCCGCATGGTAATCGACTTTCGAAAATTAAATGAAAAAACGATTGCGGATAGATATCCTATACCAGATATTTCTACCATACTAGCAAATCTGGGTAGTTCCAAATTTTTTACTACTTTAGATCTAAAATCTGGCTTCCACCAGATAATCCTTGAAGAGAAGGACCGCGAAAAAACAGCCTTCAGCATTAATAATGGAAAATATGAGTTTAATAGGTTGCCATTCGGTTTAAAGAATGCACCCAGTATTTTCCAACGGGCCATTGATGATGTCTTGAGAGACGACATTGGCCAAAGTTGCCAAGTTTATATGGATGATATATCATATTTTCAAGGGACGAAAAGTCTCATATTCAACATCTTGATAGGGTATTAATGAAGTTGGAAAAAGCTGGAATGCGAGTTTCAGCAGAAAAGACTAAATTCTTTAAGGAGGTTGAACTTCTCGGTTTATTGTCTCCCAAAAAAGGATAAAAACATGTTCAAATAAGTTTAAGGATATAATTGACTATAAGATGCCGGAAACACTTCGAGTACTGCGATCTTTCTTGGGTCTTTCAGGATAATGTAGGAGGTTTATACGGGATTATGCGTCTATCGTCAAACCATTAACAAAGTATCTTCGGGGGGAGAATGGCCATGTGTTATCCCACAAGTCCAAACATACTAAAAGAGTCCTCGACGACGAGGCTATTGAAGCTTTTAAAAGGGTAAAAAGCATTTTGGCATCGGCGGATGTTTTGCTGTTTCATCCGGATTATGAAAACACATCCGAACTGACAACAGACGTTTTCTCTAGCGCTTTAGGCGTGGTCCTATCCCAGAATGGGCGGCCCTTCACAATGATTTCGCGAACACTATCAAAAACAGAGGAGAATTATACAACCAACGAGCGTGAGCTTTTGGCTATAGTGTGGGCACTTAAAAACCTTCGACGTTACTTGTACGGTATTAAGGACATCGTAATTTTCACAGACCACCAGAAGTTCGCCATATCGAGCAAAAATCCAAATACAACAAGTAAGAAAGTCTAAGTTCGGGCGGAGCCGAACATTAAATACCCGGCGCAAGTATTAAATATATGTTTTTCACCTTTCCGAAAGCTACCGTTACATGGAAATCCGCGGTGTATCAATTTTGAGTAAATTAGCGTCCTTAAATTTCGAAATATTGAAGTTTCAAGCATTTCTGAAATTTACCGTTATATGAAAAGCGGCCGTAATTTTAGTCCGATTTCTATAATTTTCAACGTTTTGCTTCTATGTGGCAAACACAATAACCACACCGAGTTTGGTACAAATTGGTATCGTAAGTGGGCGGTGCCACGCCCATTTTCCAAAATTTTATCATAAACGTATTTCTTGGTAAAGAATTGATGCAAGCATCAAATTTTAATAATTTAGCTTTATTATTTACTGATTTATCGGAAATTTCGTATTTCTCTAAATTACCGTTGTATGGGATGTGAGCGTGGTTATTCTCCGATTTTAAAAAATTTCGGCCATTTCGTATGTTATACCAAGGCCCAACACAGTGCTTTGGTTTGTCCAAAACTTATTGTAAATATCAATTTTGAGTGAATAATCTTTAGTATTTACTAATATATCGCAGTTTTCGTATTTCTGAAAATTACCGTTATATGGGAGGTAGGCGTGGTTATTGTCCGATTTTACCCGTTTTCAATACCATCCGTCCTACGCCAGAAAGAAGTGCACGTACCAAGTTTCGTTAAGATATCTCAGTTTTTACTCGAGTTATCGTGTGCACAGACGGACGGACGGACAGACAGTCACCGCTTAATCGATTTCTCTTTTCATTCTGATCATTTATGTTTACATTTGTCTATAGCTATCTGGATTCATTTTGCCTGTTACAAACAACTGTTATGTGAACAAAGTTATAATACCCTTGTGCACAAGTGCGATCGGGTATAAATATGAAGCGATGGCGAGCGTTCATAGAAGGATTTTCTCCAAAATTTTGTTACGAGCCCGGCAGAGCAGACGCTTTGTCTCGTCAGCAGACGCTTTGTCTCGTCAGTTTTTGAATAAAATTAGTGATAAAGATGCTCCAGCACATAGCGGTCTCAAACACTGGCCCCTATTATGAGTTGCATTCGATTTTCGATCTTCGCTGACTATCGAAGATCGAAAGTGAAATTCGTATTATGAGCTATGCAAGCGTGTCGAAATTTTTGGTTGAGTATCGAATTTTCTGTCGAACAGAATTTTGCTTTCGTTGGTGTAGCGAAGTGTTAGAAAATTGTGAAAAATGTATGATTTCGCATTTGTTTTCATACTTTTTGGCGGCTAGACACTAACTTTAAACAATTTTTATTAATTTTATGCAGTTCTAACGTCGTGAATACTAAACACAAGCTCGAAAGGCTGGTTTTACTTATGAAAGAAAATCCCAATACTCCGTTGTCACGATCTCTGAGAACAAAATCATATAGTTTATAGTTTTAATATATTTTAAATAGATTTCTATCCCGAAATTTCTTAAATATATTTTATGTCCAAATATATTCGAAAGACTACACTTACGACTCTCAAACTTTTTCTGCTCCTGGCCAGTTTTCAAGGCTCTCATCCTCCGACGAATCGTTGAACCAGAACTCCGTTGTACAAATTTTTACCACGTTTTTATAAACTCGCTTTCTTTTTTATTTCATTTTAATTTGCACAAATTTACATATGTACATATGTATAAGCACACTATTTAGTTTGCTCGATTCGAAAACAAAGCGGGCCTGTTCGAGGCACGTAATAAAAGCGGCATTACTGCTGTACTGATTAAAAATGGCAACATTGTTGCAACTGCCCAACTGATAATACATTGCTAGAAATTCATACAGAACGTGATACTTTAATGGTTCGCGCAACACTGCGGTTGTGATTGCAACTCGAACAAGCCCAGCTTCTCAGCGGTGAAAATATGCTATTGTGAACAACCTAAACGAGCGAAATTCACAATAGCGCTATTCTCCATCGAATGAGCGCAATAAGTAGAAAAATCATTTTTCAGAAAAAAATTCGTAATACTATAAATTACGACACAATAACAAATTTATTACAAAATCTCAAGAAACTTATAAATCCTAGCGTTACAAATGCTTTTTTTTCAATCTTCCGACACTATCAGAAATTCAGGGACCTCTTATTGAAGCACTCCCGGGGGCTAAATTTATTCATACGGAAAATTTTTTAATCGATCTAACTAATCCAAACGACCAACAGGAAGCAATAGCAACAGAGCATGCCCGTGCCCATCGATCTCGGTCGGAAAATTTTAAGCACATTATATCAGAATACTACTTTACGGACGTGAGAAAAATGCTCGAGTCGACAATCTCAAATTGTAAGATCTGTCTAGAAAATTAATACCAAAGGAGACCCCCAAATCCCGAAATAGGGAGAACTCCAATCCCGGAGCGTCCAGGAGAAATTCTCCAATTGGACCTTTTAATTACTGGAAAGCAGTTATTCCTGTTGATAGGTTTTCAAAATTTGTAATAGTAAAACCCATTTTTTTCAAGATGCACCATTGACAAGAAAAGAAGATTTATTAGAGGTATTGGGTATGTTCCAAAACACTAAAACAATTGTCACAGATAACGAAAGAGCGTTTACTTCAAATTTAATTAAATCAATGCAACGTGATCATTTCGCTATAGAGCAGATTTTCGTACCTACCTTACATAGCGAAAGCAACGGACAGGTTGAAAGGCTTCATTCAACCCAGGTGCGTGAAAATACAATAGAACAATTCACTCAGTTATAAATTCAAAACCAATCGAAATTTTACAAAACTGCCCAGTAGGAAAATTTAGGGAAGTCAAAGAAAAATTAATAAGAGCACAAAATTTGGATAACTAAAACATATCAGCCTGGTGAAAGGGTGTTCCTTCGTCGAAATAAACGATTAGGAAATAAGTTTGAGAAAGTTTTCGTAGAAAAAATAGTAGAACGAGATTTAGGTACAACAGTACAGATATAAGGAAGAAGAATTCATAAAAGTAATTTACGATAAAATCAATTTCAGATTGGTGCTTGCCCTTATCTCCAGGGCAATTTAATTGACTACACCTCTTCACAAGTTGCTACCATTCCTCGGGAAAATGTGGCATTTATGTATATTGAATTCATTTACCTCGTACATGCCACCACCTTGACAAATTACCGCCAGATAGCTTATGAAAGCCGATGGTTCTTATCAAAATCAAAAAATCAGATACAAAACGAAAATATTTTAAAACAACAAGGTGAAGAAATATTACACATTATCCGCACCTTGGAAATACCGAGAAGAATTGCAAGATCAATGGATTTCCTGTGTTCCGCTCTGAAATTCCTAGTCGGTACCCAAGATCATGAGGACTTTCAACCGCTCTTGACAAAGGAAAGCATGTTAATAGAAAAATACAATTTACAAAATAGAATTAACGAAATAACCAACCAAATCAACACAATTCGCTGAAATCGGACGGATTGGATGTTAAAAGACTAAGAAACATTGCTTTGTGAAAATTTGATAAGACATAACCACATAATTAGCCAACTAAACAGACTAACACTCTCCATCGTGTAAGCAAAAAGTAATATTATAAATCCACTTGTTTTGGAAGATAGGGAAATGGATCACGCTTTCAATTTCGAACAATTACCCTTTAGTTTAAATAATTTACTTTTAGTATCTAAGGTAAAAATTTTACAAAATTCAGATTTTATTTACTATGTTCTTAAGGTTCCTAAAATAATTAATTTTTCGAAGTTCTTAGAATCTATCCTGTTGTCCATAATAATAGTCATGTTAAGCTAGAGACCACGTTTGCGGCAAAATGTAGCGATAAATTTCAACCACTCCACAACTGCAATAACACTCTGGTGGCTAAAGTGTGCAAACCGGCTCACTCAAATCACTTAAATCAGGTGCTAAACAATAACACAGCGACTTGCTCATCAGAATCAGCGTATCATATACCACCAGTTCAAAAAATAGAGGGAGGCATTATTATACTTAATAACGTGCCACCAACAACAATACTTGATCAACGAAAATTGGAAATTAAAGGATCGTATTTGCTTCTTTTTCGAGATTCCATCACTATAAATGATACAACCTACGTGACAAAAAAGGAACCGATTTATATCCAACCACATCCTCCGAAGACGGTATCGATTAACTACTTGGAACACCATACAAGTTTGTCCCTACCATATCTGCATAAAATTTACATCGATGTTTCTCGCATTCAGAGGGCTTATCTTTTCATCGTACTTTCTTGTGGAAAATTTTTTCTTTCCCTCCATTACTAATCATCGCAATGACAATTCTTTTCATCTACCGCAGAAAAAATCGACAATTAATAAAGCAAATACTAAGAGGGCAGTGGAGGAAATTTTTGCACAAGTCGAGGGCGACTCGTCTTAAGAGGGGAGAAGTTAGCGTATTACACAGCTGCAAATCTAAAATAGCGGTTTGATGATTCCTTAGAATCACTCCCACATTCTTGGTTATTTGTAAATAAATCGCACAGCTTACTCCGACGCCTGCATAGCTTCTTGGATATTTGTAAATAGACTTCACAGCTGTCAAGCTGATAGACAATTCTTCAGAATCACTTCCACGCCTGTCTTGCTGTTCAGTTACATTCCAAAACGGACACCTGATAGCGTACGTGACTTTGGGCAGCTTTCGGCAGGGCAGCCGGCAATGCATTCATACCAACACACAAACAGAGCTACCGGCGCATCGATACTAAGTCAGCCAGATCGGGCAGCGCATCTACACCAACACACACACATCGACAAATCAGCGAGTAGCTACAAACCGCAAGTAGGGAACTAGGGTAGATTGTAAGTGAATAAAGTTTAGTTCTGGATTGACATCAAAATAATAAATTTGTATTTCGCATATATATTGTATATATAAACGGTTAGCCGTTCTTTAGCTTTAAAACGCCGTTAAGATGAAGTATCTACAATGAGCAGAACCCGAGATATAATGATTTGAAGTACATGATTAGTCAGAATCACGAAAAAATGCAAACCTTGACAGATCATAACCCCGAAGAAAAAAAATCCTCGAACACGTGTTAGCTTATTTCATGTATAAAACCCATAATAAAAATTTAAGCGAATCGGAGGCATGACATATTCAGCCACATTGCGTAAGTCGTAAATTAGGCTAAATTGTACGACTCGACAACAGTAGCATTGTCTATTGTCGTACTGAAATAAGTAAACGACCAAAATCGTCGAAAACTATACAGTACTGCCAAGTTTTTCCGTTTTAATACACTAGTCGAGTAGAAATTTTAGGCAATGACATGAAATTTTCGATACGATTCGACTTTCGAAAAACGACTTGCATTTGAGACGACTCTCGCAATGAGGGTGAATATTTTTTACGAAGTATATCCGACTTAAAAAACAATGGGTCATAAATATATATATAGATTGGTGCTTACACATATGTTAGTGTTTGGCCGAGCTTCTCCTCCAATTTGTAGCGTGCGATTTGATGTTGTCACACAAAGGGAAGGGACCTACAGTTTTACGCCGACTCCGAACAGCGATTGTATTTTTTATGAGAAACTGTTTTTCATGGCAAAACTACACTCGGAGGTTTGCCATTGCCCGCCGAGAAGCGGCCGCTGTTAAGAAAAAGCCTTTTTCTATATATTTTGCGATGTTACTTTGACCAGGGCTTGAACTCAGACTATGCGGAGTGGCAGCGCGCACTGCTTACCACTACACCACAGCGGCCATATCTAAGAAAAAAAAACCACATACACCAAAACTATTAAAAACTTAATCCAAATGTACATAAATGTAGGAATATACAATTACTGCATTGGTGCTGAATTTTCCTTTTCGGTTAGAAAATCTGATCTTTATGTGGCTTTGTTATATTTATATGAGTTTCGTCTACACAATCCACGACTCCAAGTATTCCAAAGTTTTGTAGAAAATGCTTCGATTTATGCACGTCGCCTGTGTCATGCTTAGCTTTATCCAGGAGGAACATAAATACGTATAAATTTTTCTAATGTATATAGCTCACGCTTAATAACTTTTGAAACCGTACCTCACCCCATTGCAATAAAGCTATCCTTTCCCATAGCTTTCTGAAAGCCGCCTTCTGCACAAAAGCGAAGTGTTGCTCTGCCCACAAATGCAGGCTGATTTCCAAAACTTACCAATACAATGTTTGTAGACCGTTCTACTGCGGTATTTAAACTGTTTGTATATGTAGAGTTGCGAAACATTGCAACCACATACATTGCATATTTTGAATATTCAATATAACAATGCATAACCTTTCGTAATTTTCCATTTTCTCGACACCAATCGCAACTAAAAACAAACGCAGCATCAACTTTGTTTCTGATGCGCTGATTACTCTAGTGAGGCTTTTCGATAACTTTCGGATGAGTTTTGGAAAAGTATATATTGTTAACATTATACTTTGTACGTATGCAATGCAATTGGAGGTCCCTCTAATATGGGGAGCAATGGCACTTTTGTTTAATCTGTAGCTAGAGACGAATCTGCAAGCTTTTCGTTAATAGTTCGGGAACTAATTGCAAACTTGACATACTTACACCAATTCAGGTACATCTAATAGATTGGGACGGTCCCTAAGGATTTTTCTATTTATATACTAGGCTGACATCCAAAACGTATCACTACAATGTTTGGAAACTGTTATACTGCGGTATTCAAACTGTTTGTATATGCAGAGCTGCGACACATTGCACCAATATACATTGCATATTTTAAATATTCAATTTAGCAATGAACAATTTTTCTGAATTTTCGGGATGGTGCGCCATTTTGGGCGCCATGCATTGCATAATTATTTCGAGTCAAAGAGACCATTTAGCTCCAGAAGGGGAAAAGGGAAAACCAGTATGCACGTTTTAGTAGGTGATGTGCCATCCGGAGCGTCAAGCCTCATGGAGGAGAGAGTGACAAAGTAATTTTTTTTAAGTCTGCTGTCCAGTTAGAATTGTCAGCGATCGAAGGATGTCATGCGTTCGGCAGCAAGTCATCAGGTCAGGTGTTGGGTTTTCAACTAAGCAGTTATGCAAGGTGCACACATATTCCAATACACTTGTTGTAGTGATTTGATTGAACTGCCATAAAGAAACGTGAAAATAATCAGCATAGTAATAACGTAATAGTAAATACTTATGTAATAAGTGGTGGAAATGTTACGTGGTGTACCGCCATATATACTGAACGGGATTAAAGCTACCCGATGTATCCGTCGGATCACACTCTTTTCAAACCGGAAGGTGTCCGTCTAAACCGCACACGAACAGATACACCTGTACTGACGGTCCAGGTAAGAACTGAGTCTGAAATAATGAAAGTTCAGTGAACTATTTTTTGAAGAGGCTGAGCAGCGCATGAACTCGGCCTAAATCAGGCGACATTTAAGGGGGAATTCCAATCCTCTAGAGCTACTGCCTGTGATGTAAGCAAAAATTAATGCTTTGAAAGTTGTTCATTTATTATCTGTTTGCGTTCAGATTCGAAGCATATTTCAAAGTTCTAAAATAAGCTGGAGCAAAATACACAGAGGAACGACTTCGTTCAACTTCAATACCTCCGCTCGTTAAAGTTTGCGCAGTTCTTCGATTTTTCGCAAAATGAAGTCCCACGGTAATGACTTCAATTTAGAAATTTGGTATGCCAGTAATTTTGAAAGAGGTGCTTCAGTTGATAAAGGAAACAATTTTCAGCGTTCGCTTTTGTTTCACCAAAAGCGCATACTCAACGGGAACTAAAATTTGAAGTTATTGTTTTGTTGTTATTTTCACAATATTCTGTAAATGCAAACTTCACTGCAAAATGTTAATATCGTTAAAACTATTAAAAACTAACATTTTTAACATACTTTTAAGTTTCGCTCCTAAATACGTTTTAAAAACCTTCCCAGTAACCACAAAAATATGGTTGCCTGAATACACACCTTTTAGCAACTGCAGTTGCCAGTTGCCATCTGCATTATCCGACATTCGGTGTTCTGTGTTTCACTTTCCGAGTTTTATTTCCAAATTAATCCAAATGAATTTTATTGTACTGATAAACGAATCTGAGGAAAAATTTTCGGATATCATTCACTTTAAGTTTGTAAACTTGACACGAGCGAACATGTAAGTTAACCCATAATGGGTCGATTATCGATAGCAACCTAACTTCAGTTCCGTTGCTAGTTGCCGACACGATATTACAGATGGCAACTGGCAACTCTCAACTGGCAACTGCAGTTGCTACATAGGGCTAGCGTGTAAGTGTGAGTTTAACTCTGTTTGCCATTTAGACTATGTTTAAACTCAGGGCCAGTTTTTCAGTGCGAGTTTAACTCTGTTGGCCGTTTAAACTAAGGCCCTTATTACGAATTGCATTCGATCTTCGCTGGCTCTCGAACATCGAAAGATAAATTCGTAGTATGAGCTATGCAAGCGTGTCGAAATTTTTGTTGAGTATCGAATTATCTGTCGAACAGAATTTTGCTTTCGTTGGTGTAGCGAAGTGTTAGAAAATTGTAAAAAATTTATGATTTTGCATTTGTTTTCTTACTTTTTGACGGCTAGACATTAATTTTAAACAATTTTTAATAATTTCATGCAATTCTAACGTCGTGAATACTAAACACTACCTCGAAAGTCTCGTTTTACTTATGAAAGAAAATCCCAATACTCTGTTGGCACGATCTCTGAGAAAAAAATCATAGAGCTGTTTATAGTTTTAATATATTTTAAATAGACTTGGATCACAAAATTTCTTAAATATATTGTATGCCAAAGTATATTCGAAAGACTGCACTTAAACTCTCTTTAACGTTTTCTGTTCCTGGCCAGTTTTCTAAGCTCTCATCCTCTGACGAATCGTTCAACAGAACTCCGTTGTACTAATTAAAATTTTTTTACCACGTTTTTATCAACTCGCTTTCTTTTTTATTTCATTTTAATTTGCACAAATTTAGATACACTTAGGTGCAAAATTTAGTCAATAATAAACAAATTCACAATTTATGCGTTTTTCGGTGGTTTTTTGTCATAATTGTAATGAATTTTTTTGGGCATATATTAGAGTATAGTTTAAAGCACTAGAATCCACCATAAAAATATCAAATTTGGCTAACGTATATGCACTCCATAAATTTGTGTAAGTTAACACATTGACTCAATTTTGCACCCATATAATTTATAAGAGATATTGCCACGCTGCAACTCGTTGCAACCCGTTTTCCTCCGTTGGAGGTGTCGGATTTTGTTTAAATGATCAAGTAAGTTGGTTTTTTGTTATTAAAATACCATGAGATGCGCTTTGGGAAATAAAAATACAGCCCTGTTCTGCATTTCGACTCGACTTGAAAAGTAAAACGACACANGAAAACTTGATCGAAATCGAAATGCAGAACAGGGCTGATAAAAATATTACTGAAAAAGCTATGACGGGGCTTTCAAGCCGTGAAAAAGCGAAAATAACGCACGTGGGTCAATCGACTGTTAGCCGTATTATTAAAGGCACTACTAACATGCAGATTGCAAAGAAAACGGTGAAAATAAGCCGAAAATATCCGAGGTAGAAGGGCCAAAACTTAGGCGTTTAATAGCGTAAGACAGAATACGTACCGCTAAAGAATCTGTGGGGTGCGTTAGTGGAGATGCTAGCGTATTGACCTTGAGAAGAATGATTTATAAAGCAGGATTGAAGGCGATGGTGAAGAAAAAAAGCTACTTCTGTCGACCAGGGACATAATCTAAGGTGAGCATTCTCAGAAAAAAAAATATTGGACTGATCCAATCAAAATGATCCAGGGATTTTTGCAATGTCCGTGCATTTCAAACTTTGTCTTAATGTTATATACAATTATAGGTTATTTGGTCAGATGAGGCCAAAATTAACCGCTTCCAAACAATGAAAAATCTTGGTATTGGTACAAGAGGGGAAAAACGATTAAGCCTTCGCACATTCAACCGACAGTAAAGCATGAATGTGGGGCGATGAAGCATTCTTCGCACGGTTCACACGCTAGCATCTCCACTACCGCACCCCACAGCTTCTTTAGCGGTAGATATGCTGTCTGACGCTATTAAACTCCTAAGTTTTGGCCCTTCTACCTCGGATATTTTCTGCTTATTTCTACCGTTTTCTTTGCAATCTGTATGTTTAGTGCCTCTAATAATTTGGCTAACAGTCGATTGGCTCAGATGTGTTATTTTCGCTATTTCCCGGCCTGAAAGCCCCGTCATAACCTTTTCAGTAATATTTTTATTTTTATTTCCCAAAACGCATCTCATGGTATTTTAATAATAAAAAACCAACTTACTTACTCATTTAAACAAAATCCGCCACTTTCAACGGAGGAAAACGGGTTGCAGCGAGTTGCAGCGTGGCAATATCTCTTATAAATTATATGGGTGCAAAATTGAGTTAATGCATTAATTTAAAAAAATTGATCGAGTGCATATACGTTAGTGAAATTTGATATTTTTATGGTGGATTCTAGTGCTTTAAGCTATACTCTAATATATGTAAAAAATTCATTACAATTTTGCCAAAGAACCACCGGAAAACGCATAAATTGTGAATTTGTTTATTATTGACTCAATTTTGCACCTAAGTGTATGCACATATGTATAAGCACACTATTTAGTTTGCACGATTTGTAAACAAAGCTTTCAGTGTGAAAAATATTCTATTGTGAACAACCTAAACGAACAAAAATCACAATAGCGCTATTCTTCATCGAATGAGCGCCATAATACCAAATGAGAATTCATTCGATCAGCACTTTCGACCACAGTCGAAGATCGAATGCAAGTCATAATAGGGGCCTAAGTTTAAACTCAGTGTTCAGTTTTTCAGTCAAATTTAAACGTCCAAACTGACTGTAGTCAGCTGTCAAAATTTAGGTGAAAGAGAAAAAAAATAAAAATTGTTTGCGAAATACACGACAACAGATTCCCAGAACAGAAAATGCTACTCCCTGCCAGTTAATTATGTGCAATCAAATCTTGCAATAAATTTTTAAACTTCCCGGTAAGCCTGAGACTTGAAACTTTAAATTTAACTCAGACCTCGATGACAATGTAATGTGAACGATAAATAAATCCGCTAGGTGGCACGGGCGTCGAGATATTTGAAAAACCCATATTTATAGGACGAAATGGTTAATATTTGAAATTTGAAATTACCTACATGGAAAGGAACAACTACACAAAAATATTTACCTGATAGGTGGCAGAGGAGTCCTGATATTTGGAACACCCTATCTATGGTCCGATTCGTTTAATATTTAGAACGTATATTACTTAAATGGAAAGAAATAGCTCCACAAAAAAATTCGACCGTTAGGTTAATGCTTTAATGCTTCCAAGGTTTTTCTTTGTTCAACTTCAATACCTCCCCTCCTAAAAGCTTGCGCCTTCTTCAATTTATAGCAGAAGGAAGGCCCACCGCTATCACTTCAATTTAGGAAATTTGGTTAGTTCACTTTTAATTCGCCAAAATCACGTTCATCACGAGAACTAAAATTTGAAATTGTTGTTTTGTTGTTGTTTTCACGATATTCTGTAAAAGCAAAATACATTGTAAAATGTTAATATTGTTGAAACTATTAAAAACTAAAATATTTCACATGTTTTTCAATTTTTGCTCCTAAATGGGCTCCAAAAACCTTCCCAGCAACCACAGGCAGTTGCCAGTTGCCATCTGTAATATCGTTTCGGCAACTAGCAACGCAACTGAAGTTCGGTTGCTATTGATAATCGACCCAGAAGTCTCACGGCAATGACTTCAATTCGGAAATTTATGCGTCGGTAGTTTTGAAAGAGGTGCTTCAGTTGATAGAGGCAAAAATTTGCAATCAGTGTTCGCTTTTGTTACACCACAAGCGCGTACTCCACGGGAAATGAAGTTATCGTTTTGTTGTTATTTTCATAATATTCTGTAAATGCAACCTAAATTGCAAAATGTTAATATCGTTCAAACTATTAAAAACTAAAATAATTGACATACTTTTCAATTTTCGCTCCTAAATACGCTTCAAAAACCTTCCCAGCAACCACAAAAATGTAGTTGCCTGAATAAAAACTTTGTAGCAACTGCAATTGCCAGTTGCCATCTGTAATATCGTTTCGGCAAGTAGCAACGCAACTGAAGTTCGGTTGCTATCGATAATCGACCCATTAATTTTTGTGGTTGTACACACTGTACAAATAATGGAACCGTACCCGTTACTTGACCTCCAGACCGTGCATGAGAGAAGGACCTGCTGTTCTCTAATCTTCGCGTGCAACATTCTCATGACAATATTAAATGTACTGAGCTGTCAGAACTTTTAAATCACTATATTCATCGCCATAATTAACAATATGTAAACGGTTGTAGAACACATTATCAATAGTATATACTAATCTGGCAACACTGGCCATTTTATACGATATCTGTAAATAACAAATGGCCACACAGGCTATTAAATAGATTCATTATTCATTCGTCAGCCAAATAAACCGCATCGAATTAAATCGTCATGTGTGGTAGGAGCACATTTTGCGAAATTTAAAATTTAAAGTACCTCGGCAATGTCGGAAAAGCAGCAGATTGCAAATGCTCTGCGTGATCTCGGAATTGTTTTTCTGGAGACCGCGACGTTGAGACAGCTGAAATTTCTGCGTAGGAGTACCGCAAAGGGAAAACGGTAACTCGCCGGAGGAGAACACCATTTTGAACGCAACGGTGGCTTACGCCTCAGCTTCGGCGGCAAAATCAGTGACGGCGATCGGCGATCCAATTCCGCAAGACTCGGGAACTACCAACGCACTGATGAGGCGCAGTAGTGCTACTACAGAGTATAGCAGCACCCCGCCGGCAAACTCCACACCTTCAGCCACTCCAGTAAACTTCAGTGCCACTCCATCGAACTTCAGTGCCACTTCAGAAACCCCCACAGCAATTTCAGCCACTCCAGCAAACTTCAGTGCCACTTCAGCAGACTTCAGTGCTACTACAGCAAACTTCAGTGCCACTCCAGCAAACGAAACCACAGTCTCAGTAGGTAACTGTACAGCCTTCAGTAAAAGCTCAAACAGTCAACGACGTAGCGTAGACGTAGGTTGACGCAGACATGATCTACCTTATGGGATCCGCGTGAGGAGCTAATTTAGCTCTAAGCACAGCTACATATCCTACAACTGAAAAGCGAGATCAAGAACTGGAGGACGTAAATTTCCTGTAAATTTTAGTGACATCGAAAACGCCCCCAAAATTTAGCCGGGACGGGATATCCAAAAGTGGATACACGAGTTTGAGTACGTCACGAAGTGGTACGGCTGCGACGAAAAGTCAAAGCCCTTACTAGCACGCACGCTAACGGGTAGCGCACGACTCTATGTCAAGATGGTCGACGTCCACTCCTGGTGCGATATAAAGCATTTCCTCATAAAGGAGTTTAAACGGCCGGCCAGCGTAAAGGAAATTAAAATAAAACTGGAATCGCGCGTATGCGAAAAGACGGCGAGCCTAACGCACTACGTCCTATCAATGCAAGAGTTGGCAGTAATGGCGATAGGCGGTTCGGAACTTCTTCGTAGAGGGCTTACGCGACAACTCCGGCAAAGCATTAATATATAGTGGAGCAACGACAATTGAGGCACTTAAGTCACTGCTTCCGAAGTACGAAAAAATGGTACGGAAGCCGACAGCTAGCAATACATCGTACCCACCACGCGGTGTAGGTCAAACATCCACTATGAGATGCTTCAATTGCTCTCGCTACGAGCACTTCGCAAAGGAGTGTAACGAGGAGAAGCGCATCCAGGGCTCCTGCTTCAGATGCGGCAGAAAACATAAACTTTAAAAATTTTATTTCCGTATTTGATACGGGCAGCCCTAATAGTTTCGTGCAGCGATCGGGTAGGAAATGTGAATCAACGAAGTATACGTGAACACAAATCAATGCACAATTTAAAAGTATGGGAGGAACTCTAATTAGACCCGAACAACAAATATGCATATTAACAAAATATAGGAACATTACAAAACCGCTTTTAGTTTATATATTGCCAGACGAATGGCTACCATTTCCTTTACTATTCGGTAGAGACTTCTTGAACAAACATAACATATCTTTGTACATGAATAAGAACCACATAATAATTGAAGTGAATTTTGAGTTTATAAAAAATAAATTTGGTTTTGAATAATGGGTGTGAGAAAATTAAGAAAAAACGCAGAAATTCAACTTAGCGGTTGGCAAAACGGTGAGGAGGATAGCAATTTGGCAACCCAGCTAGCATTTAGTGAAATTTGTAACATTAACATTGATGATAAAGCATGCGTTGATGCTAAACCTATGTTACCTTCAGTTTGGGCGGATAAGTTTAGAGAAATGATTGACAAAATTTACGTAGAGAAATAGATAGAAGAACTTCCGGATAGTAATAATGAAGCGAAAGTTGTGTTCACATCGAATAAACCAACCTTCTGCAATGCAAGACGCCTTTCGTTTGGGGAGAAAACTGAGGTTAACAGTATCATTGAACACTTACTAAAAAAGGGCATAATCAGGCACAGTGACTCACCTTATGCATCACCACTGGTACTTACGAAAAAGAAGTCGGGGGAAACTCGAATGGGTGTGGACTATAGGAATTTAAACAAATCGATTTGGGAGGCAATACAATTTTTCCCGTCATAGATCTTAAATTCGGCTTCTATCACGTGAAAATGGCTAGCGAATTCTTAAGAATGTCGCTTGGGTTAAAAAATGGAAAGAAAGGAAATTATTGTATATATGGATGACATAATCGTCGCAATGAAAACAATAGACAAACATTATCAGCCCTGTTCCGCAAATCCGATTAAAATCGGAATCGGATATTATTTCCGATTCCGATCCACTTCGCATCGGAATTTTATCGAAAATTTGATGTTCTGCATTCCGAGTGTCGGAAATTTTTATCGGAAATATTCCGACCAAGTAAAAGCCAGTGGAATATAAAAAGAACAATACAAAAATATGAATCTAAATGATCAAAGGAACATCTTAACCTTTAGCGAACAATGAAAAATGTTATAATAAATAATAAATAAAAAAACAAATTAAACTGCGACAGCTTGAGTTGGAGCTAGAGCGTTTCGAATTTGAAAATAGTAAAAAATCTTAAAATGTTATTTTTTCGTAAATTTATTGTTTAATTACCAAACTCGATTTAATTAAATAGGGGTAATCTTATTCGTAATTTTGTATACAATTATTTGTACTTCACTTTTCAAATAAATTTCTGTTGGTGCAAATCAATCTACTTCACAATCTACATACTTCGCTATCATTTTCTTCAACTTCTTCATAGTCAAATTCAGGACTGTAGTGGCGAATAATGTTATGCAAGCAACACATTTATTAATTATTTTCACAACCTCTCATAGTTTGTACTGCAAGATTACTAATAAACACTGAAAACGACTTTTGGCGATCACCATCTCGATACTTAATCCCCAGTTAATCATCGCTACCTAAATCACAGACTCCATGCACACAACATTGTGTCGGTAACGTCGGCAATGGTACGGTGCTCCCTCCCAAAGCGATGTTGGTCCATTCGCTTTGCTCCCAGGAATGGAACTTTTTGCGTACATGAGGCTGCAAGTCACCCAAAATCTTGAGGAGTGCAAGAGAGCTGTAAAATATAAAATTATACTTTGAAATAGCAAAAGAGAAAACAGTTGTTTGCATAATACTTACGCAGAGTCCGGTAATTATATGAGATTGCTGCGATCGCGCAATATTGTTTGCATCATTTTTTCATTTGTTTGTTTTGTTGCTCATTATTTAGCAAAACAGCTAATAAAACCATTGAATTCATTTTAGTTTTCACTTTTTAATTTCTTCAGATGAATTTTGAAACTTCAGAACGCAATTACAAGTAGGAGGCTTGTTCCTTTTTTTCTACAATCGGATTCGATATTACCTTCGAAACAAAAGTTCCGATCGGATTGTGGAACAACATTCCGAGTCGGAATTGAATTCCGATTCCGATGCGATTCCGACTCGGATTGCAGAACAGGTCTGTATAACTTGGTTAAAAGGGTTTTAAATCATTCAACCGAATATATACTTCGAATAAAACTTCAAAAATGTAAATTTGCGTATAGTGAAGTAGAATATCTAGGATATAAAGTTGTTGTTGTAGCGGCTACAACAACCCCGCCCAAATCGGTTAATATCTCAGAGTTTACCTAGAAGAGTTAAAATTCAAGATAGTAACCGATGCACACTTAACTAATACATGCATCCTTCTTCTATTGTCTCAATCCCTGTCATGATTATTTTGAATGCAATAAATCGGACAATGATTTGAAATAAACCGCATCGAATTAAATAAAAGTTCTACAACATAAAACTAATCACGCACTTAACTTATTCAGGGCTTTCACAGAATCCATCATAGCTTCGCTTTTCGTGAAATCTACGAAAGTGCTATCACAGAATCCGAATTGAGACGAATGTAAATTCGAAATTCGTAGAGCCTTCTTTGAATCCGTTCATAATGAAGATTCGCACAGATACTCTACGAGTTTGTGCCGTCGTAACAAAAATTAAAATCACTGAATCTTAAAAATAATGGAAAAAAGCTGCATTATTGTTATAGTTTGATATAATTCCATATATTTGTTTAAACGTAGACGTGAAATACTAATGCCATACTTACGTACATACATACATACAGTATAAAAAATTTTTTTCAGATCTATTCTGCACTTCGATTACGTTCCCGCATTCCGCTCCGCAACAATCGTAATTTGGTATTCTGAGTTACGATCGAATCAAAAGAAGAAGATGAAGAGCGAAAACATCTTCGAAATCAGCTGGTTGCCTAGGAATGTATGAAATCGAGACAAAACAAAAGAAATATTTGCCACGAAGCTATAGCAGCTTATGAAGTTAAAATTTTTAATTATTTTAAAATAACTAAATATATCTAACATCATTGTAATTTACAAATTAAATGTCGTTTGTTCTTAATTTAAGTAGAAACATAATTATAAGAAGGAAATCCATAGCCGCGGCGTTATTGCTTGAAGAGGAGAACAAGTCTCAGATTGCTGATGCGGAAGTTGAAAGGCGGAGATTTAGGGACATGTTTGATCCTTTTCAGATGAGTGAAGAATCATAAGAAATTAATCTTGAACTGCATTACTCACCGCTCAAAGCCAGTAAAATTATAAACGTTGTTTTGAGAATTCCACAACATTTGCATTTACTACAGAGTATGTATGCATATATCTATTAATTTTATATAAAAAGAATAAATTGTATTCAGCGCATTTCACAGTCTTATTTATAGATAATGAAAACAAAAACGCCTGTGGGGCTACTTTGTAATGCGATGCGAACAGAGTAGTCCGCGTGGACTTCTTTGAAAACCCCGCGCAATATCACTTTTGGTTGCCATTATTTGAACCAATTTCTCGTACTGCCCGTATTGCCGCTCGCGAAAACACAAATCGAGAAAATTCATTTATGATGACTTTTACAATCATGCACAGTATATGTTTCCTAATATTTAAAAAAAAATTTATTATTTAAACCCACGAAAATAACAATCGAAACAACGATCGAAATGTAGAATAGGTATAATGGTAAATTTCGAAGATTGATCGAAAAGAAACGGAACGCACAATACCAAAGTTGCCAAACGGAGAAAATTTCGATTCGAGTCGAAATGCAGCATAGGGCTGATTAACACCCCCTTGAAATTTCTGAAATACTCAGTATTTTTTCACAAAAACAAATTTGTAGCGAATCAAAAATAGGCCTCGTTATTTTAGATAACCAGGGCTATCACAGAATCCATCGTAGCTTCGATTGTCGTGAAATCTACGAAAGTGCTATCACAGAATCCGAATGGCTACGAACGTAAATTCGAAATTCGTAGAGAGCCTTCATTGAATCCGTTCGTAGTGAAGATTCGTACAGATACTCTACGACGAGATTATGCTGTCGGAACAAAATTTAGAATCATTCAATCTTAAAAATAGTGGAAGAAAGCTGCATTATTTTTAATATTAAATAGTTATTATACTCCAAATTTGTTATAGTTTGATATAATTCCATATATTTGTGTAAACGTACACGTAAAATACCAATGCTATACATACATACATATGTATGTACATACACGCATTCATCTGGTAGACGCTATTTAATGAATTAATATTTTGCATGAATCGAGGAAATAATAGTTTAGCAACAATTTATTATGAAATAAACTAAATTACTTTAATATCATAAAAATTTATTTAAAAAAAAATTTATATTTAAAATAATAAAATCTAAGCTAAAAATAAACTTAAAAAAAATATTAATTAAAAAAAGAAACGAAAACTAAATAAAAAAATCTCCACTGCCCCACGACTCGGACTCGAACTCGGCTCTCTCAATTGGCAGTCTAGTGCCTTGCACACTCTGCCATTGCGCCTGATTGGGCAGCGTGAGCAAAATGACATACATAAATGTCTGTTGTTTCCTTTGCACTAACTGATTTCGAATCAGCATTCGAAGCTGGCAACGATATTTTCGAGTTCACTCGGATTCAGTGATAGCAATTTTTTCGTATTCGTAGAGGGCATTTGAATTCGTATATTTTCTACGATGGATTCCGTGATAGCCCTGAACATCTTATACTATTTTCAGACAGGCAGTTAATTGAGTCAATAAAGTTTTTAATTAAGCAATCGGTTTTTAGCTTTCACACAATCAGCTGCTCGATTTACGAGAGACTATCACCTGTCACAAAATAATTTTTTGTTATTTATAATAAATTTGTAAATTTGGTAAAATGGAGAACAATTCATGTTTAAGCGAACTTTCCGTGGCGTATACTGCTAATTTGCAACTTTTGCAGTCAGTGCAAGCTAATTACGACAGTGCACTAGCTTTATATAAAAAAAGAAAACAGCAAAATAATTTTGCAACATTTGCGAAGGCAGCAATTACTACTTTGCGGATTATTACAGAGGAACGCTACTCAGAGATCCATCTGGAAGTTGGTAAATGAAATTATAACAAATCAGTTACTTTCCTTTTATAGATGACACTTTATTTATTATAGAATCGGCTATCTTCTTTCTGGGAGGTTAATTGCAATTGCAACGACGACCACTTCTTTAAGAGGCACTTCCGCATGAACTGCACCAGTTTTGACACTATCTGTGGCTTTCTCAAAAATTTGCACAAAGCTGACACAAACTGGCGCAACGCGATTCCATTGCAAAAACGTATTGCGATCGCTTTATTTACACTGGGATCATCTGGGGAATACAGAGTGGTGTCGGAGCTTTTAGGTGTTGGAGTCTCGACTGTGTGCACAATTTTGTGGGAGTTCTGCGAAGAAGTCTGGCAAGCTATGTCAGCGCAATATATAAAAAAGTTACCACCGACTCCGGAAACTATAAATGACTGTATTGATGGTTTCCACCGGCTAGGCTTTCCACAGTGCCTAGGAGCAATTGGTAAGAAAACAGAAAATTCAACTAGTTTACATAAAAACAAAAATATATGCATATAGTTACATCTATACATATTCAGATTGGTGTCACATTGAAGTTAAGCCGAATCCATCCGATGCAAGCGATTACCACAACTACAAAGAATGGTATTCCATTGTTCTACTAGCTGTAGTGGATTACAGGTAACACCACTTTCATCCTGTTATTTTATAATAATAAGCATATATGATTTACAGATACCGTTTCTTATATGTGAACATTGGCGCCCCAGGACGATGCAATGATTCACAGATATACAATGCATCACTAATGGAGGAAGTAATGGAGGATGAATCACTGACGACCACTCAGAAAGAAATAGGTGCAGTACAAATGCCTGTATGTTTAATAGGAGATTCTGCGTTCCGATTTTCCACCTCCTTGATGAACCCATACGCCTTTTCCATGGCCTTGACTGAACCGCAAAATCTTTTTAATTATAAGCTCTCAAAATGTAGGCGAGTGGTTGAGAATGCCTTTGGCCACTTGAAAGGACGATTCCGTCGCGTTGGAAAAGGTATAGACAACCGAATTGGAAAGGCACCGATTATTATTAGAGCCTGCTGCGTTCTACATAATTTCTTAAATGAAATAAACGACACCATCAATGATATGTGGATGGAGAGATTGCAGAGAGAGAGAGGTGAGCAGAAATCGCGAAAATCCGGAACAAACGGTAGTGATTGTAGACAATGAACCCTCGGCTGAAGAAATACGACAAGGACTATGTAATTATTTCAGTGAGTAATTTTTTTATTATTTTATCTTTTAATTTAGTCAAAGATAAAAGTTTAAATACAGAGAATTTTTCGCAATGTAGTCCAAATTTTTATTTTGATTTTTTTCGCTGACTTCATGACAATATAGTTCATACTACCACAAAAAACTTAACAATAAAATTTCTAAACTTTGTGCAAAACTCAGGAAAATTTAATAAATTTGCAACTTTGTAATCAGATTTTTTAAAAAAATTCTAAGTATGCAGTTTTATAGCCCATTCAATTTTAGTACATATAACGAAGTGCGAGGTTGAAGTTACTAAAAAATCCCTTTGTTATATTTTTTTGTATAGGCGAAAAAAATTACACCGTCCGCAAAAAAAAAATGCCAAAAAACAAAGGGAATTTTTAGTAACTTCAAACTCGCACTTCGTTATATGTACTAAAATTGAGTGGGCTATAAAACTGCATANCTTTGTTATATTTTTTTGTATAGGCGAAAAAAATTACACCGTCCGCAAAAAAAAATGCCAAAAAACAAAGGGAATTTTTAGTAACTTCAAACTCGCACTTCGTTATATGTACTAAAATTGAGTGGGCTATAAAACTGCATACTTAGAATTTTTCTAAAAAATCTGATTACAAAGTTGCAAATTTGTAAAATTTTCCTGAGTTTTGCACAAAGTGTAGACATTGTATTTTTAAGTTTTTTTGTGGTAGTATGAACTATATTGTCATGAAAAGTTAGCGGAAAAAATTAAAATATTAATTTTGACCTACATTTGCAAAAATTCTCTGTATTTAAGCTTTTGTCTTTGACTGTATTTTTACTTAATCTATCTTTAAATTTTATTTATTTCTATTTAAAAATGTTAATATGCCATTTTTAAGTTCTTTATTGTCAGAAGCTATTTCCTTTAGTGTATCCGCCTTCTCTTGTTCTATCCTCATCCATTGTTTTTCACTTTCTTCATTCCTTTGTATGTGACGACTTATTTCAGATGATAGCTCTTCAAATTTGTCAAGCACTTTCTTTTGCAAATTACCCATTCCTTTTTTTCGTTTAGGTTCGATCGCAGAAGCTGAGGTATTTGGCATTGGCGATGATGGCGATGGCAACGGTGGCGACGGTGAGGGCAGCGGTGTGGTCAGCAGTGAGGGAAGAGGTGATGGCAGAGGTGATGACAATGTTGAGGTCAGTGGCGATGGCTGCGATGCAGTATCGAATTCTGTTTGAAAGAAAACGCCAAACAATTATATAAATAAAACAAGTAATAATCCCCGAAAATCGGGGTGCTTCGTCTAAAAAATAAATTTTTATTTTTTTTTCCTAAAAAAACTGATATATTTTTTATGTAAGTATGTACATATACAGACTACAGATTAACATCGCAAATGTTCGAACTTTTAATCCAAATTCATCAGGTGCAACTCCATTGAAATAAAGTGAGTTTAACGATTCCGTAGGGAATGTGACTTCCACCTATGAATCTTCATCCACGTTATACTAAACATTTTCTTTTCCGGGCAAAATATTAACATTTTTTTATTAATTACACAGGTTTCCAAAAAAAAAGTTTCTGCATATGGAACCAAACCTCTATATCCCTATGTTATTCGACGCACTGAATACGAATCTGTTAGCTTCCATCACGTCAGGCCCGAGGTCATCTCAAGGCCAAATTCAGAAGAATTGTGTTGACTTTTCAGATTCGCATTCAGCGCGTCGAATAACATAGAGATATAGAGGTTTGGTTCAATAGTGTTTCCGTGCTCGTGCGGAGTATTGTTGTATGTTCGCACTTAAACCAGCCCTTAAAGCAACTGTTAGGTCTCAA